GCCTATTGTGTATCAACCCCAGTAGACTTCTGGGTGGCAGCAGATAATCAAACACATTGATTTGTCTTCAGCAAATGTATGAATATTCACAATCAGTGGCATAAGACAGTAAAAACCCTCACATCAGCTGAGGTCACTAACAAGATGTGAACACATTTTCAGTTTTCAAAACTTTGGGCGTTTCAGAAAAACCCATAAGGGATTGTGGAAAATATGTCTTGTTATCCAGGTATCATGCTTTTCCTTCTTAAAATCCCCAGGACCATTTGTCCATTTAGGAGACCAAATGTTTGGCTCAGTGCCTAACACATAGAAGATACCTAGAAAATATTCCCTGAAAGAATGATTGAGACTTAACTACAATTTATAGAAAATTGTTGCAACCAAGCCTCTGGAGAAAACAGCCTCTAGTCTTATCCCATTTCCTTTAAGTGGATGGAAACCTTGTTGCCTCTACTTGGCTCCCTCACAAGGAGCAGAGGAGAGGGATGCTCATGAATTCTTTGTTTATTTTTTTCCTCTTCCTTCAGGCCTTGTATCTAGTTTTAGAAGCGGGTGGGTGAAGAGATTCTAGACATAAAAGGAGCCAAATTTAAAATTCCCCTTTCTTAGCTTCCCTATGCTGAAAATACCAACTAGATGTAGTAACCAACTCCATGAATATTCTGATTGTTTTTTTCATGGAATGCTTGGTTTGTCAGAAATTGGGGTTTCACAAGCTTGGCTATACAAAAACTTGGGTTCAGATTCTAGCTCTACTAAACCCTTAGCATATTACATAAACTCCTTCAGTCTCACTTTCTCATTTAGGAAATGTACATTGAAATAACACAGTAACCCCACGGCAGTGCTGTGGGGATTAAAGGAGATCATCCATGGAAAGCATTTGACATAAAACTTTGGTTTTGTTGTTGCTAACAGCAATAGTAATAGTGATAATATCAATCCTCCTCATCATTGTGGTAACTCAGTAGAAGCACAGAGCAGGGCAGATTTGATCTCCCCAATTTCGCTACCCTCACACTTTGCTATGGATCATGTTAGTCAGGATGGGCTAAGGTGTGCTCTGATAACAAACACCCCCTAATCTTGTATCTTAATGGTACAAAAGTTTATTTCTGGATCACACAGATTTTTCTGTGGACCCAAATGATTCTTCAGAGCTGTTGTCTGCTGTGGTTCCATGATCCAAGTTGTGCTGTGATTCATACCTTGACCCTCGGGATCATCCACCCTGGAACTGTAGTCCTCCGGGTACCCTTTACTGTATAAAGCAAGTTACATGGTTCTGCCTTACTCCAAAGCAATGGGGGAAGAACAGTCCTGCCAGATGCCTGGAAGTAAAGAAGATCTAGAAATACTGGCAAGAGGCACTAGTGATGACCGTGCAGACATTTAGCCTTTTCTCACTCTGTCGTAGATGGTTATCACAAACACAGTGGTTATTGCTTTGGCCTGAGCATCCTTTCCAACCAGGCAGCTGTCCTGAAGTTACTGCTGCAGGTGATCTTTAGAAATCATTGAGCTAACTCTGCCCTACGTGAGGTAGAGGAGCAATTTCTAGGCATTGGGAGTGAGTCACGCCTGCTGAATTGAAGCCCCTCCCCCAAGTGTTTTCCCCAGCACCCTGCACCCCAGTGATACTGGATGGGATGTTGAAATCATGGGTTCCTCACGTTAGGAGGCACTCTTGGGAAGCCTGCTTATTTTCCAAGAGTGGAAACTGAGACCCAGGCAGCATGAGTTTGTTTTGTTTCCTGTTTTCCGGGGCTTTCCCAGGGTCCCCAAAATTCATGATTAGCCCATTGCTTAACCCACATCTGGACAGAGGCCTCCGGGCTCTGCCTGGTGGTTGTCTACTGTCCGCCACTTCCATCACCCATATTTATCCTCCTTTAGAAGCGGAGACGTCCCATATACAATGATTGGCTTGTCTCACTTTCTGTTCTATTTCTGGTCCCTTCTAAGGCTGAGGCTGGACCTGTGCATTCCCTGGTTGCTCAGAGCGACCCATGGAGGAGGATCTTCAGCACCTTTTCTTTCTTTTTTATCATTTGTTTTTTCTTTCCAGTTGGGGGGACAGGAAATGGGACAGTTAAGCAGTTGCTACCACAGGGGCTAAACTCTCACTGTTTTAGAAGAAGAATGAGAAATTCCATCCCATTCCCCAGTACACCCCACCCCCACCCCCATATACCACCCAGAAGTTTCTATTGATATTTTAATGAGACTGCATATAGAAGCTCTTTGTCCAGATGGTAAAATATGGTCCCTGCCTGTACTTGTTCAGAATCCCTCTGTGCTATAAAAGGGGGCTCAGACAACCCTGGATGGCTCTGAGACTGAGGCTTGCCTAGAAATTCTGGGCTACAGCTGGCCTTTCAGTCCCTCCAGACTATGTTCATTGTTTCTAACTTCACAGTGTGAAGCTGAGGCCTCCAGAGCCTGGGGTTTCAAAGTACAGGTGGAGTAAGAATCACCTGTGCCATGTGCTAACAGCAGATTTCTGGGCCAACCACCAGAGATCGACAATTTGGGCAATATGTGAGCTGGGAGTGAGCAGTCTGAGCCCAGGCCCAGAAATCTGCATTTTTACAAGCATCCCAGGGTAACATAGAGCAGGGCTCTTGTTGATGCCAGTGCACCAAGGTGGCAGAACTACAGAGGAGGTGTCCCATCTTCAGCCAGAGCAACAACACTTGGAGCTATTTTATAAATAAGGCTTAAACTTAAGGCTTGTTCTGCTGATAGAAACAAATGACATGGAATAACATTTTTGCAATTCACTATTCTAGAACAGAGTAAGCAGAAGAAAGAACCATCCAGCAGTGGCTTGACCATACTTTTCTTGAAGTGGCTTCATCTTTATACAGAATGAGTTTCTTACCCTTTGATGAAATGTATAATTATCCTGTTTTCCACACCCTAAAGACAACCAAACAGCACCAATGCTGCTCCTCAAATCCCTGGCCCCTGGGTCTTAGGCACCTCTGTGCCTGTTTTCTACCAAGTGTCTTAGACGGAGAGGGAATGGATATCTACTTCTGCACTTTACAGCTTCCAAGGCCTAGTTTGGGCCATGCTTTGGGAGAGAAACGGCTTCTCTCTTGGACCCTAACAGATTGCAGTTCGAGGTTAGGGAACTTGAATTCCATTTTGCCACCAAGGGGTGGCCCTTACCTGGTCCTGTTCAATAAAACAGATGTGACTCTAATCTTGCCTGCTTCAGCTTATAACGTCTACACGTGATTGTGATTTTCTTCCCCAAAGTGGGACGAATCAGAGTATATGTGGGCCCTTAGACTTGGATCTGAAGGGACAAAGGTGACTGTCTTTGTGCCCCAGTACTAATAGCAGTGCCAACCGAGGCTGCTGATCACAGGCAAAGAACTGAAGGCACAAGGGTAGATCTGTTAAACTGTGTGTAAATGGTATTTTTTCCTGTGAAATCTCAATACCTCCCTGAGGACATTGCTCTTCAGGTTTTTTAGCTACTCTTCTCTGATATTTACACTTCGGGGATTTTACTCTTGAGAAATCACTGTGGCAACAGAACCATTTGCCTCCACGAAGACGATGTCAAAGTCTTAAAATCTGGGACATTTTAAGGCAGGATTCCAACCTCATTACTGCCAGGAATAAGATTCATCCAAGGTGGAAGTGTCCTCTCTTAGAACTCAAATCATCTCAGAATGGCTTTTCTTTCCCCTTTGTTTTTGAAGCTAAGCAATTACTTTTTTTTTTTCCGTAAGGAAAAAAATGTGCTAATGCACGAAACTCTCTTTTCCCCCTTTCATTTATTTGAAATTGAACTTAACAAAGTCAGTTCCAAGCAAGCACTATATATGAGTAATGCTTTTTGTCCATAAAAGAGCATTGACTCGAATGGTATGAGAGTGCTGATCCTCTGTCTGCTTTGTGTGAGCGTCCGTAATGACAAAGTGCTCATGTCAGAGTGTATAATGAAACTATAAATTGTTTTCATGAATGCTCTGAATTTGGTCTTTTACGGGGCAAATTCAAAAGGTATTTAGTGCCACATCTCACATATGTGAATAACACCAGACGGTGCAATAGACCCAATAAAAGGACAGAATCCCAGTCGGGCTCACGCTGGCCCGGGTGGTGGGTAATTGTCAGGTGAGGGTCTGTCACAGTTGGGGGGAGAGGGGCGATGGAGGGGCAAAGATATCTTGCAACTCTGAAGAAGAGTTCCAGCAAGATGGTACTTGACTTTGAGGGGGTAATTCAGTGTGACTAGAATACTTCACTCATAAAATTGGTCTCTGGGTGGTGGGTATCTGCACTTGAATCCTGGAAAAAAGTGCGCACCTCTGCCCGATTTTAGTGAACAAAAACTCTCAAGTGAGAAAATGTCTGCTGGGTTGCATGGGCAGGTGCAATCTATTGTAGTAATGTATAGTTTGATCAAATTATTTTTTATTACATTTTTGGTACTTTTTAAAATTATAGAAACCATATAGGTATATTCTAGAACATTTGGCAAACATAAAAAAGTATAAAGAATAAAGAAAACATGCAAATAACTTTGCTACCAAGAGATAATTGTTAGTAATGTACAGAATTTTTATTTAATTTGTGTTATGTTATTTTGTAAAATTTTAATAGAATTTCACACAGTCTTATCAGGATATATAAATACCTTTTGAAACAAAATTTGGCATCCTGTTATCTATTTAACCATGGAATTGTTTAAAAGGATTGTGCTCTTTAACTTAACCAATTATTGTCCTGTCTCAGTTGGCCAAACTTCATGAATGGCCACGGTTTTGGTTCTGTGACAAGGGCACTGTGTCAGGTACTTTAGCAGCCTTTGGGCTCACGTGTCATTGCATGACAAATGTCTCTGGGTATATGATCTCTGAAGACAAAAAGCAACGAAGCCAAATCAACCCTGCAGGGTGCGTGAACTCCACCGCGGGTGAAAGGAGGGAGGCCTGGTGGCAGTTCTGAGTCGCGTGGATGTGTTTGTTCTGCAGTACCTGGTGTGTAAAAGGAAGCTGGAGAGTAAGAAGGAAGCCCTGCTGATCCTCTCCAAGGAGCTAGACACGTGCCAGCAGGAACGGGACCAGTACAAACTCATGGCCAATCAGCTTCGAGAGCGTCACCAGTCCCTGAAGAAGAAGTACCGCGAGCTCATCGTACGTATGACGTTACCGTGACGTCCCTGTTCCCGTATGGAGATAGAAAGAGGGCCTTTAAACACGCGGTGTCTTCCAAATAGCGCTGACTCCAGACAGTTGCCAACCGGAAAGACATGAAAGTCTTTCAAGTTATCAAGACATGAAAGTCATCAACCCTACTTCCTTCACACCCAGTACAATCGATTTGCTGGTTGATAAGTATATCCTTCCGGATACTTGCTCTGGCACCCGTGAATGTACACACATATCTGAATGTGTCTGCGTGTGCCTTATTTACTTATTAATTAATTGTATGAAGGGTTTATTTTTCTGGAGGATTCATGTTATAAATCTGTGCTAATACAGAAGCTACTGACTAGCTGCATGTGGTTATTTAGGTTTCATTTTGAATTAATTAGAACTAAATAAAATTGAACACTCAGACTTGTCATATTTCATGTGCTCAATTGCTATAGTTGGCTGGTGGCTACCGTATGTGATTGTGTTGATATAGAACATTTCCATGGTGGCTGCTATATTGGACAGTTAGCTGTGGGACATGTCCCTCATTGCAGAGAGTCCTATTGGGCAGCTTTATATAAATGTTACTCTAAAACTTGCTCTTTTCGCTCAGCACTTTATTTTGGACATCTCTCTAGGCCATATATACAGATTTAACTCATTAAAAAATATTTGCATAGTAGTATTTCCATAATTTTTAAACCTTTCCCTCTCCTGGGCAATTAGATTTTCTCTAGTTTTCATATGGCACAATTTTTAAGGATGCAAATTAAAATGAATTGGAGGATACCAACTGCATAGTGCTATTTTGCATTCTCACTTCATTTTTTCTCACTTATGCCATCTCTTTTTTAAGTGCTGACACTATTGCTTACATTTAACCAGCTTTGCTGGGGTCATTGAATTGTCCTCAACAGAAATACAATAGAAAGATTCCTAAGGTTAAAGTAATGTTGACTTACATGAGGACTGCATCAGACATAGGAGTACTGTTTCCTGAGCATTTATCACTTACCTGAGATATTTATGTATTCCCAGATGGCACATGAGGGAGAGAAATTAAATCCTTTAAAGACAAAAATCTGATAGGGCTAGAAGTTCTCACTTAGTTTTCTTGTATTTTGGGCATATCCTGTCCCCAAATTGTTCTGCCTATAGAGAAAATTCAAGTGTGTGTGTATATGCACGTGCATATGTGTGTCCGTTACTATTACCTTGGATCTAATTATTTAAAAAAGGAACTCAAACCAAATGAAATACTATTTCAGTTTAGTCTGCTCAAAAGTACTTTTGATAAATCTAAGTAATTAATTAATTTGGCTCACATAGGTTTAGAAAATATATCAGTTCAGTTCAGTCGCTCAGTCGTGTCTGACTCTGCGACCCCATGGACTGCAGTACACCAGGCTTCCCAGTCCATCATCAACTCCCAGAGCTTGCTCAAACTCATATCAATCAAGTCAGTGATGCCATCAACCATCTTATAGAAAACACATAGATTGGTCCTAATTGAAAGTTATTCTTTAGAGGTTTTCCCAAAATAACTCTGGTTCAGTTTACAGTTATCAGTTTTTAAAGTACATTTTAGTTTAGTTCAGAACATTGCTGGTTGCAGGGGGCAGGAGTAGGGAGGGTCTGAATTTAGTTCATAGTTCAGTGCAGTTCCTTGAATCTACATATATCTGATTTTTTAAAAAATAAAATGTAACATTGGTTTCTTTATAGGATGGAGATCCATCACTTCCCCCTGAAAAGAGGAAACAGGTAAGACTTCCTCCTGATCTTTGGTAACTCTCAGGATGTTTGTATTGATGTCTTACAGCAACTGGAGGATCAGGGAATCCCAAAAGAAATCTTTTAATTTCCCAGAGGTGTTTGTATTACCGGGGGAAGTGTGGTTGAGAAACACTGACTGCAAAGAGGAGCTAAGGGTTGGGTGAAGGAGACACAGTGAAGTCTCACAGAATAGAAGAGGGCACACAAGTTGACTGTGTTCCCTTTCTTGTTGGGAACCCTGTTGAAAAACCACGAGTTGAGGGAGCATTGCTAGCGGGCTTTAGCTCACGTTCCATGGATGAATGTCATTCTGCCAGTTCAGAATTTTAAAGACATCTTACCAGCAAAACTCATAAGCCATTTATGTTCTCTCCTAAATGCTAACCAGCATTATTTCTTGATGAATCCATTTCCTCCAGACTTTAGGTGCCCACTTTTATCAATGAACAAATCCTTATGTTGTGTGTGTGTATGTGTGTGTTTCTGGACTTTCTGTTTGTTCCATTTAGCTTCATGTCCCATCCTATTTGTTCCACATTATTCTGTTTTTGTTTATACTTTCAATACCTGTTTGGGCTATTATCCTTAGCTTTGATCTTTCTTTTCAGATTTCTTTTTTTTTTTAATATAACTGACAAATATTTTATCAAGTCCTCCTTATTCCCACCCCACCCAAACCCATTCCTGTTGGTATTTTGATAGGAGTTTTCTTAAATTTATAGATTGATGTAGGGACAGTTAACACTTTTATAGCATTATGTCCAGGAATATCATACATCAAATTTTTAAAATCCAGTTGCATGCACACATATATATATTGCTTTTTTCAGAGATATCTTGTTAGCTGTTTCCTTAACTTCACAGTTTTCTATACTGACACACCCTGACTGGTAGCCTTTCATGGGCTTGAAGGTAGCCTGGATGATGGTGATGTTAATGCTATGTGTTCCATGTTATGATAAACCCCCTGCACCAGAGCAGAGCTTCAAAACTGGTGGATGAAGATAAGGACTCAGGAATTGTTTGCTGTCTTCAGAGTTGTAATGGCTCAGCCAACATCCTGTTTTTGCTCACTGATCATATACTTAAGCAGCGTATAAACACCTAAGATTCATGACTGAGTAAACTGTAGACATACACACACAACATTTGCCCTGAAATAACAATTCAGTCCTATGGTTACCCTTTCAGGTGTTCAGTTCTGGTCACTTCCATATTCCTTTCCTATTTTATTTGATTATTTTGTAATGCTCCAGCTTTGAGCTAATATCAGGTTCTTCTATGGAGCTAATTGATAGTTTTTTCCTCAAAAAATGATGTGGAAATTTACCATAAATGTTTTAAAATTGGGATCCTTCGTGTGGAATTGCTTATGTTTTTGTTTTTGGTGTCTATGAGCCGTCATCTTTGCTGCAATTTTAGAGTTTGTTAGTATTCATGAAGGAGTTTTACAGTGTAAGTGAATTCACGTTCTGTGACTTTATAATAAAAAATTTACATTGACTGAAGAGAATCTGATGAATTCCAGTAAGTCTGTCAAACTGCATTCTTACAGCTCTGGGGGAAAAAAACCAAAAAAACAGGTTCAATGTCCTAAGTTCTGGCTTTGTAGCTTTTAATATGGCATTTAGTTTCTGTCCCTTTAGGATTTAGTGTGGTGGTGTGAGCTTGGGCTCTGCACCCTTCCTGCCTGTGATGGATGATGTAGGATGGACTGGGGTACTAGTGACAGACATTCTAAACTGCTTAAACAGTAAAGGAGTTGATACCCTTGCATAAACCCCAAGTTGAGAGGTAGTTCAGGTTTCAGATGCTGTACTTTCATGTACTCATTCTCTCTTCTCTACCATACTTATCAAAGAAAAATACAGGAAATCAAATCTTGGACTTCAGATGGACCATGAATGCCTTTTTAGTATAAGAGTATGGGGCTTTCCTGGTGGCTCAGACGGCAAAGAATGCGCCTGCAATGAAGGAGACCTGGGTTCGATCCCTGGGTTGGGAAGATCCCCTGGGGAAGGAAATGGCTACCCACTCCAGTATTCTTACCTGGATAATTCCATGGACAGAGGAGCCTGATGAGCGTGTGCGTGGGGTTGCAAAGAGTCAGACACGACCGAGCGACTAACACTTTCAATTTCATGTATCATGCAATAATATTTACTTAACTAAAACAATATTGACTGTTAATCTGAAGTTCACATTGAGCTGGGAATCATATATTTTATCTGACCATTCTATTACTGTGCTGATTTTAACATCAGTTTCTTCTTGAGTTTAGCATCAGCTTTCTCCTGAGGCCAGTTCCTGTAAGCAGGAAAGACTGAAAACCCAGCTCTAGAATATAAGTCCAGCCTCACTGGACCAATGTAGGACATGCTTTCCTTCCTGGCCTATTAATATTCACTGGGAGGATGCTATTCATTAATTGGCTTAGATTAATCACCTGAGATGGAAGGGCCAGGGGTGACACCCACTAAGCTAATAATGTGCCTTGGGAAGTTTCCTTTGGGGGCCTGAGACTCTGTTTCCATCTACAAAATGGGAATAAACATGGTGCCCACTGCATAGTGTGGCTGTGAGGAACAAATGAGATAACAAAAGTAGAGTCTTCAGCATAGTGCCTGGCACAGGGTGAGCATCAATAAATGTTTACCATCCTCTCCCCCTCCTGATCATCCCTTTCTTTTTTAGTCAATTGTATATTTGTGTGCCTTTGTCAGGACCCTTCTGGTTACGCTTGGCAACTTGAAATAGCTTAGGCCAAAGAAGTTGTTACTGGCTCATAGAACCTCAGAAGGGTTGAGTGAGCAGCCACCTTGGGAGGCAGAAATGCAGCCAGGCCTCAAGACCAGCACTCAGGGGCCACCAGGTTTTTCCTCTGCCTTCAGCATTCTCTGGGTCAGCTCTCATTTCTTTTTCTGGACCTGCTTTCTCTGTAGAATAGGAAACATGATTGCTGACCACATAAGACCCCATATCTTTGATCTCTAGGAAGAAGCTGCTCCCTGAGTCCCAGGAGAGAGCTCCCCTAGGCCAGGCTTAGTCCAGGGGTCCACTTCAGGTTCAGCTGGGCATGGCCAGGCATACTGTAGATGTAAGGCAGCTCCTGCTGTTGTCATGGTGACAGGATGCTGGGTAGACCGTGTCTTAACCATCTGCTCTATGTGCCTTCTTGAGACAGTCTTGGAATGACAAATCATAACAATGGAGCCAGTGTTTTTGAGTGCTCATCCTTGCCATATCAGACCCTATGCCCAACATTACACCTTGGAGGATCCCATTTAATTCCCACACCACCATGGGAAGTGGGGTTATTATTGCCACTAGACAAACGAAATTGATGCCAGTGGCAGTTAAGTAAATTACTGAAGGGAAATAACATAAGGAATTGGTGATGGAGAAAGAGTTTAAAGTCCCGCAGTTCACTCACAGCTCATTCTTAGAGCCACCATGGTTCAGTAATAATTTATGGAACACCTTATGGGTATCCTGTGCAGATTAGACACTAGGAACACAGGAGTGAAAAAAGTCAGATCCAAATCCTTGAGCGTGTGGAACCTGCCTTGGTTAGAGTGAACAGACCTTATGTTTGCTCGGAATCATTGCCATTTGCACCTCTTGTCCTGGCATAATTTTATTTTTACGCAAGATTTTTTTGATGTGGTTGTCCTACTCTTTTTGTGACCCCGTGGACTGTAGCCCGCCAGGCTCCTCTGTCCATGGGATTACCCAGGCAAGAATGCTGGAATGGGACCATTTTGAAAGTCTTTATTGAGTTTGTTACAATATTGCTTCTGTTTTATATATATATATATATATATTTTTGACCAGGAGGCATGTGGGATCTTAGCTACCCAACCAGGGGTGGAACCCACATCCCCTGCTTTGGAAGGCAAACTCTTAACCACTGGACTGCCAGGAAAGTCTCTGTCCTGACATAATTTGTATTAGTGCTTCCTTCTCTCTCGAGTGTCTTGATTTGGACAGTAAATAATATAGTTACCTTAAGTCTTTTAGAGATGCTGTGAGCAGACAATAAACAAAATGATTAAAATATATAGGATGTTAAATGGTAGTCGGTGCAATGGAGAGAAAAATATAGCCCAAAGCCAGGGAGGGAATTCTGGCTTAGTAATGGAAAAAATGTCTTGATAAACAGTGGGGGGAAACAGTTCTAGTATTTGTGGGAAAATTCTTACCTGTTTAAAATATAGGTTTTCAAATTTTGTTTACCTTTAGTTGATTTATAGAAGTATGCTCTTGGTTTTTGGGTGGGCAAGGGTGTTCAGATGCCCTCTTCATTAGCTCAGTGTAGGGAAGAAAATACACTGTTAAATTTGCAGGTGCTGGTTACAGTGAAACTTTCCATTTAGCCAGAAGCAGACAGCTTTAGCATCTGTGTGCTGGTACTGGATGAGAGAGGTGCAATTACCTTCTTCACTTTTTCATCAGCAGGAACGAGGGGTAGAGGTGTGCACCCTGACCTAGTGTCTCCTGTCTTACATCACGTGTTTGTCCCAAAGGCAAAACAGTAGGTGAAGTATTTACCCCTCCAGCTGCAAAGCAAATGTACCTGTGTTAGCAGAAGGCATTGGAATGAGAACCAGCTGCCGGGGTGACAGATGGGACATGGAAGGGGGTTGAGAGATCCGCGCCTTGGAAAAAGAGAAGATGCAGCGTTGAGCATCTCATTGGCCATAGGCCTTGAAACCGTGGCTTCAATTTCTTGACTTGAAGGAGGGATTCCTATGGACTCCTCCCCTCTTCAGCTCAGAAGGAGAGATTACTATCATCTCTGTCTTACAGACTGAATGTTTACATCCTCCCCCACCACTAAATTCATATGTTGAAACTCCACTCCTCAGTGTGGTGGTGTTAGGAGGTGGGGCCTCTGAGATGTAGTTAGGATAAGATGAGGTCATGAAGGTAGAGTCCTCACGAGCAGATTCAGTGCCCTTCTGAGAGTTATGAGAGAGCATGCTTTC